TTTTCATGCTAATATGTGCTGAAGGATCAGCCATGTTCCCTAAACTCTCTTCATGCCTATTGCTTCCAAAATTCATTCCCACAACCCCTAGTAATCCCCAAAACCTTGTGAACTCTTCCAGCCCACTGCAATGGGCATGCCTGTCCCCTCTCTGTAGATCTCTCTTTGAGGTCCAGCACTGCTCTCATCTATTTTGAGCTCCTCTCTGTCCAAATCTTCAACCAGAGAATCACCTTTTAAAGCTCTCTTCTCCTTTACCAGATGATTCTTTCTCAATTTTCTTGCCTGTTTTCTCTACAGGACAAGAAGGGCCCACAGATTCCACCTAGTGGTCATGGACTAAAGCAGTATCCTCCCAACAGGTCCCTGCTTCAGGCTGTGCTCTCCTATTAGAGATCCCTTGAAGGTTCCAAACCCCTCAGAGACTTGTATCTTATGTACAGTAAAAGTCAAAGTACTTACTTATACTGACCTATAAAGCCTCTCACAGCCTGAATCCCTATTTCCATTGTGACTACTGTTCCTACTATTCTGGTTCTCACTTCTTATGTTTCAACAATTTTGCTTTTCTTTGAACACCCCAGGCATGTTTATTCAAGTTACTCCCTCTCTTTGAATAGTTCCTCCCTGAGACAGGTGCCTGGCTAACCCCAAGATTTCCTCTAAAACTTTTTTTTTTTTGAGAGGTTTTCACTATAGGGCGCGTGTGCTCGCCAGACAGACAGAGAGAGACATAGAGACAGAAAGCGAGAAATCACCCCCCCAGGGGGGATGGTCACGCCGCAATCCCTTCTCCTCCATTCTCCTCTTGGGATCTTGGGCACGCACGCACATGTGCCCAGCGTGAGTTTTAAGTCACCGGGTCCGGGACGCGAACCACGGTCGACTATGTGGGAGTCCAGCGACATAGCCATTACGCTAACTGCTGGTTCCCATCCTCTAAAACTTTTACCAACTATTATTTTCCAGCGAGACCTACTCTGACCATCCTATCCTAAGATGCAATGAAACTCTCCTCTCTAGCACTGTGGAAATACTTGCCCTGCTGTTTCATTACACAACATTTATTATTTTCCAACACAGTATGTGTTTTACTTTTCGTGTTTACTGTCACCCTTATCCTGTTTCTGTGAGAAAATTACTCCACAGGTTCAATCCTTGACTCTTTTATTTACTGACTAATTCCAAGTTTTCTGACACTCTCTGGCTCATAGTCACTACTCAATAAATATTTACTAAGTGAATAAACAAATGTAACACGTATAGCAGAGTAAGTGACATACCCAAGTAAGCAGTGAACGAGTGACAGGAATGGGTATCAAATAATTTTATGATAAATTACCTTTGGGTTCCAAAAAAGTACTAGTACAAAGACATATAGTTCTATCACTAAAAGATCTCTCTCTCTCTCTCTCTCTCTCTCTCTCTCACACACACACACACACACACACACACACACATAATCCCTGGGAAGGAATAACTACTGACTAACTATCATGCTAAGCAGCATGAACACAATAGAGAATACCAGATATTTATCTTATTTTATGTTTTATTCACACAACCTGGGTAAGGTTTTTTAATCACACTTTTCAAGCCAGACCTCTGGTCTCCAGAGAATCCCACTGGATAGTTCCCATGCTCCTGAATACACAGGGCCCAACTCCCCAAGACACATTCTTCAGGCCGTTCTAATGGTGCCCTCAGCATTGACAGGATAAACCATGATGTCTCAGCCCACCTCTGCTTAGTGGGTGTAGGAACCTGCATGTTCACTAAATGCACCCTATTGTCTGAATAACAAAAGGTCAGTACAGAAGCCCTCATTTGATGGCCAGATTGTAAGGAGCACAAGTATGAGAGAAACATTTTTGCTCCTAGGGTGGTGGTGGCTTCCTGGCTTTCCTCAGGGTGGCTCACTAGCACTTGTGCTCCATCATACAGACACTGATGAAGAGAAGCAGGCTGCTCCATGAAGAGCCAGTTCATCTTTCTCTTGTGGTATCCAGGTCTGTGGTAATGAAGGCACCATGCTCATGATTCTGAAACAGGTCATGGACTTCCTCTAATAGACAATATATAGGGAATCATAGGAATGCCAGAAACTGATTTTAGAATATTGATAACTAACTCAGCGAGATAGAAGAGAACATAGACAAACAATTTCAGGAGATGAGAAAATGCACGACATGGAAGAGAGATTCAGTACAGAGATAATGCATCTTAGAACAGAATCAAAAAGAAATCTGTGGTATAAAATATGATACAGGACAGGACGAAAGGAGACAAAGAAGGTCACACTACAATTCCTTTTTTTTTTTTTTTATCAATTTCTTTATCCTGTCAAGATTTGGAACATATACCCACACATGATGTTTTTCAAGCCACCGAGGCCAGGATTCAAACCACATGGTTAGCCATGTGGAATTAATTCTACACCCTGAAACACTAGGATACAGGGCCAGTCCAATTTAATCTGCTTCTTGAGAGGATTCAATCCACAGTAAAGCCCCATTTTCTTCGACCCTCCCCAAATCAATCTCACTGAAGTCCAAATTATTTAAGTCTATTCTTTTTTCTTTAATGCCTATTTACTTCCATGAATGAGAGAGATTGAAAGAGCCAGTGATGGGTCCAGCAGGTAGACGTTGGACTCCAACATGGCTGGCCACACTTAGAGTCCTGGATCCAGTGGCTTGAGAATCACGCCAGTCATGTGTGTGTATGTGTGCCCCAAATCCTGAGAGGACAATAGAGGAGAAGGGAGTGAGACAGGGCCATCCTCCCAGGGGGTGATTTCTCACTTTTCCTCTCACCGTTTTTTCTCTGCTGAGCACACATGCTCTATAGCAAAAACCTTAAAAAGAAAGAGATGGAAGTAGCACCGTAACAAGGTCCTGAGACTGAAATACACCCTCAGTCTTCTGTCAGCCCTTATCATGGATAAGCATGTGCCTGGAATACTCAGGGAGGTCTCCAGACTTCAACTTGGAACTTTCACATGTGGGATTGACTCAAGGACTATCATTTGTTATGTTGCACCACCCTCTGGCCCTGTTATGTCTCTTCCAACTTCTTCTTCTGACAGGCCATATGATTCTCTAATGCATCAATTAAGAAATTCGCCTTTCTCAAGAACATGCGAGTTGCTGGTGGGCTGTGACTGGGAGGAAACTGACCAAGTTAACAAGGACAGCTCTCCTTCCTTGAAGATTGTTTGTTCCAGATTTGGAGGCGTTCTTCAGCCTTCATCATCCTGCATTCTTCAGGCAGCGTATTCTATTCATCTCCTAGTCCTGGACCTGGTCCTCTTCCCAGGTTGACTTGATTCTCCTGGCATCACTTGTTCCCTAAATACCATTGATTCTCTCTCCACGTGAGAAATGAAGTGCAAAACTTACTAACCCAGAGGAAACCTCAGCCAGGCTGTTTACTCATTCACTATACCTGCCCCTCTTACTTTCTTCTGTTTTCAGAGTAATTCACCATTTGTTACCTCAGGGGTAATGGGATCTCAAAAACAAAGACAAAGATGAGTTTTTCCTCTGTTTCTTTGTACACCCCTAATAAACCTTGCTTTGGATCACTGAAAAATTTTCCTTTAATTTTTATTTTGCTTCAGGGTGCATGTGTTCACTGGAGAGACAGACCGGCAAAAACAGGAAAATTGAGAGTGCATCCCACCAGGAGAGATGGGCACACTCCTATCTCTTCTTCTCTATTCTCCATTCAGGATTTTGGGCATGCACACACATGCACCAGAAGTGTTTTCAAGCCTCTGGACTTGGGATTTGAATGACATAGTCAGCCATGTGGGATCCAGCTGCCTTAACCAACATGTCATCTGCTGGCCTCAGATCACTACAATCTTTGAGAGCACAACTTGGCCCACACTTATGGAAGTGCTTGCTTCTATAACAGAGGAGAACATGACTCCTGAGCAAGCACCTGTCACACGCTAGGATCCTAGCATAAAGAATTCCACATAACTGGGTCATCAGAATCTTTAATTTATTTATTTTTCTTTTCTTTTCTTTTCTTTTCTTTTCTTTTCTTTTCTTTTCTTCTTTCCTTTTTATTTATTTATTTTTTTTTTGAGCAGTTTTTGCTATAGGGTGCGTGGGCTCGCCAGAAAGACAGAGAGAGAAAGTGAGAAATCACCCCCCAGGGGGGATGGCAACACTGCAATCCCTTCTCCTCCATTCTCCTCTCGGGATCTTGGGTACACAAGCACACGTGCCCCATGTGAGTTGAAGCCACCAGGTCTGGGACTCGAACTGTGGTCGACTACATGAGAGTCCAGCAACATAGACATTACGCTAACTGCTGGTCCCCATTTATTGTTTTTTCATATTTTTCATGTGGACAAGTTATCCAGAGAGACTGGAAGCTGTAATATATTACACTTTTTCCACTTCATACAAATTTTGTAACACGGTAGTAGTGCCAAGAAATGTCTCAAGTAGATAATGTAGTTTACTTTCTGCTTTTCAAACCCTGGGGCTGTTCAAGCCATTTAGTGGTTAAATCTAGAATTCACTTTCTCATGCTCCATTACCTACTCCAATAAAGATCACTATCTCTGAAATGTCCAAACAGGCACATTGAGTACCTCTGTGCATGTGCCCCTAGTGTAAGCCCACAAAGCATAGTATGACCAGGGAACTGGGTGTGAGATGTGCAGTCCATGTCTTCACTATTCTTATTTCACATTCGGTATTCCAGCTTGAGTCCCTGGGCCCATGTGGACACAGAGTGAGACAATGAAGGATCAAATCAGAGTATTGTCCAATGATTATCGAAGGTTATTGGTTGAACTCCCCCAAAGCATGTCCTCCTCTTACAGTCATATTTTCCCTCCCTGAAGAGAGTGGTAAGAGCACACTGTCCATGCATCTTGTTTGTTGGAGGGGTTGTGATGCAGGAAAGTGGACACATCATTTCATGATCAAGAGTGTGAGCCTCTGGGAACCAGCAGTTAGCGTAATGGCTATGTCCCTGGACTCCCACGTAGTCGACTGCTGTTCGTGTCCCGGACCCGGTGGCTTAAAACTCACGCTGGGCGCGTGTGCGTGCATGCCCAAGATCCCGAGAGGAGAATGGAGGAGAAGGGATTGTGGCGTGACCATCCCCCCAGGGGGTGATTTCTCTCTTTCTGTCTCTATGTCTCTCTCTGTCTGTCTGGCGAGCGCACGCGCCCTATAGCGAAAACCTCTCCAAAAGAAAAAAAAAAGAGTGTGAGCCTCTGAATAAGCAGAGTCAGTGGCTGTGTTAGATAAAAGGGTTGACAGTAAAAATCTAAACTTGTATAGCCTTTTCAAGAATGTATAAAAAGTGCATTAAAATTCTTAAAATCTCAGTTCTCTGTCATATAAGTAAAAAAGGAAACATGA